GCTGCTCCAGCCCCTCAGCATCTCCATGGCCACCTCTGGCCCTGCTGCAGCAGCTCCATGTCCTTACACTGGGGGCCCTAGAGCTGGATGCAGTATCCAGGTGGGGTCTCACCAGAGCAGAGGGGCAGAATCCCCTCCCTTGCTCCACTGGCTCTTGGGGGATTATTTGTTTTCCAAGGCAGCCCAACCTCAAGCATGTTTTCCAAGGCAGCCAGAGCTCAAGGAGGAAAGCTTTATCATCAGGCTCTGTAAACCAAGGTTGGCAGATTCCTCTCTGCCCTGAGATCTGAAAGTGGGTGCAGGTTGGTGGGGACGTCCTCGTGCCTTTCTGTAGCCGATGCCCGTAACGTCTCCGTGTGCTGTTTGTGGTGCAGCCACCTCTGTGTTGTCCTGAATGGTGTTCACGTAGCAGCCGTACAAAAATGTGTGCTGTTGGCTGTGAACCTCACTCTCTTTGTGGATTTTGGGTTGTTTTAATCTGCTTTTCTGATTTCTCAGTACTGTCAAAGAGGCTATTGGTTTATTTTTTCCTTTGAAGTAGTAGTAGTTTAACGGGGCTGGGGACCCCCATTCCCAGTTCTGCCATTAACCTGATCTTACACAGAATAATCTACACCTCGGTTCTGTGTAAACCAGAGCTGCCCCCTCCCTATTTTACAGTCTTAAAACTTCAGGAGGTAGCAGGCCCCCGTTTAATGTGTGCTGTTGCAAACTAACGAGTGCTTTGTTTCATGGCATTGCTCCTCTGCAAAGCAGACGTGTCTGCAGGCTGGGTTTCCTAGTGCATCTTCCCATTATTTTTTTTTTTCATTTCTTTAAACTTTTTTTTCCGTTTTAGCTTAGCTCGCTGATTTTATTTTTAGGTCTGATGATGAGCAGAGTTCAGCGGATAAGGAGAGACTTGCCAGGTAGGAGAATGGAGATTTCAAGCATGGACAAGCAGAGTATTTCCTTTCCTTAATGTTTCTCTAGGCATCCCTTCTCTTTTTTTCCCCCCCCTCCTTCCCTCGTCTGCTGCAGTAGAGGACTTGAGACTGACCAGACTCCTGGAAATCGCTGTGTAATTGGAGTTAGGAGGGGAAAGGCACTTGGTGCCCTTGGGAGACGTCTCTGGGGAGCACACAGGAGGATTTGTTTGCCAAAGGCCGCAGGGTAGAGCACGGTTGGGCCGTTGCTTTCACCGAGGGCTGTAGCTTTGCTAACCTGCACTAAATAAGATTTCTGTGTGCTGGATCAAGGTGCCCAATGGCCTCTTCTTGCCTTGGGGAGGCTTTGACACAGGAAAAAAATGCCATGGTGCTGTCAAAACAGACATGAAGAAGGGTACTGGCTCAAGTTTTCCTACCCTTTACAACCTCCCAGGAAAGGTGGTGTCCTGTGCGTTGCAGCCATTTAGTAAAAACTTCCTTAACACAGGATTATTTTTCCCCCAAAATTCAATTATTTTTTTACCCCAAATTCCTATTTGTAATTAATGGGGCCTGTGGCCGAATTGACCGAAGCATTTGTCTAAAATGCTGGACCTTTAATACCAAAATGTCCCCTGAAAACGTGTCATTATTTTTTTCCCCCGAATTCCTATTTGTAATCAATGAGGCCTGTGGCCTAATTGACCAAAGCATTTGTCTAAAATGCTGGAGCTTTAATACCAAAATGTCCCCTGAAAACGTGTGCCCACAGCTGCCTGAGGCGCTGCGTTACCAGGACTGCATTTCTCCAGCAGAAAAACACCAACGCTGAATGTACCCTTCCCTGTTTTCAGCTGCAAATAACACAATGAGCTGCAGTAAATAAATCACCAGCAAGGTTTGCTGTTGCTTGCCACCCATGGCTCATTACCACTGCAGAGCTGAGGGTTGGGAATTCACACAGAGTGCCTTATTTTGGGGCTCACCATCCTACAAATTTACCCTGTCACCCCTTAGGGCCGGGCCACCCTGGACTTGTTCTTAAGGACAGGGCTAAAAAAGTCTATTTTGGGTGCTGAGAACGCCACAATTTTGACCTGCTGGTTTGAAACCCAAAAAAAACCCACCCCCCAAACGCAGCCTTTCCTCCCTGCGCTGTTGCATAGCTGAAATATTTGAGGAGATAAGGAAACCTCAGAGGTGGGGCCAGCGAATGCAGCGAACACCGGCGCTTTGCAGGGATTTCTCCCCGCTGAAGCACGGGCCCTTTCCTCTGTCCCTGCACTCGGTGGTTGCTGTAGCAAGGGATATTTGGCAGAGGGGCGAGTAAACGTCCGGTGGTTTCCCATGGCTTTTGTAGTGAAGGTAGCTTCGTTTTCACGCTTGAGCGTGAGAGTTTGGAGAAACTGAATTAAAGGTGAGTGTGGTAACTGAAGCACTTCTGTCTGAATCTCGGTTCCTTGCAGCCAGGAGCAAAGTCACTGAATGATTGCACGTACCTGGTAGTGAGAAATGTGCTGGTTTTGTATTGACCCTCTTTAATTCACTTGCCTTTGTTCCTTCCAACACTTCCATCTCATTTCATCTCTCACCATGTGCTTCCCTGCCTCCGCTCCACCCTTCTCTAGAGGAAACCTGGCTTTTAAGTTCTGTTTTGAAACACCACCCCCTTTTTAAGCCAGTTAAACCACAGATACTGGAGAAAAAGAACCTTAAGCAGGTGATGTTGTGGTCTCTGGGGGTTGATGGGGACTGTCCCCTGCGTGCAGACTCACAAAAGGTGTGTGAAGAACCTCTGTGAGGGCTGTGAGCGGGCAGTGTTTGTGGTGGTGCCTCTGTAGAGGTGTGTGCCTGTGCAGAAATCAGGTGTAAATCCGCTCTGAAGCTTCCCTTCCTGCCCTGATGTTGTAAAAGGCTCTGGATGTAAGGGAGAAGGCTCTTCACAAAAGCACTGCAAGGTGAGACTCCTCTGTTGTAACGTAGGTGCCCAGGTCTCAGCTGCAGCTCCCTGTGGGGTTATTGGACGTCCACAGGGGTCTGCGAGGCGATGGTGGAGGGGATTTGATTCACCCTTGGACAAACCGGGTGGGCTGAGGTGTCTTAGTCTGCACCAGTGCCGTTTGAAAGCAGATTTCCTCAGCAGTGAGGTGAGCCCTGCTTTGAGAGCAGGTAAAGGAAGAAACCCTCTGGCTTGCTGCAGTGTTGTTGAATTGGCGGGGAAGCCGCTTTCTCTGCTAAAACAGCTTAGTGTAGCTCGCTGCCTTCACCAGGCACCAGGGAACCGATGCGATACCGAGCGAGGCTCTTGTCCGCAGCAAAGAAGCTCCGACTGTAGCCTCTCCTCCTTGTACTTGTTCCTGCGTCCCTTTGTGCACGCCCAGCATGTGAGGCGCTTGTAGTCCTTCTAACTCCTGACGACCCCGATGCATCTCTGTGTTTTGCACTCTGGCCTTGTGGAAGCGTGGACGTGGGGAGAAACGGCTCAGGCTCTTGACCCCTTGGTAACTTCGTCTTCTTCCTCTCCTCCCCGGTCCTTTTCGCAGGGAAAACCACAGCGAGATCGAACGTAGGCGAAGGAACAAGATGACCGCCTACATCACGGAGCTGTCGGACATGGTGCCCACCTGCAGCGCCCTGGCCCGCAAACCGGACAAGCTCACCATCCTGCGCATGGCTGTGTCTCACATGAAGTCCCTGCGCGGCACGGGCAACACCTCCACTGACGGCACCTACAAACCCTCCTTTCTCACCGACCAGGTCTTGCCTTGATGCTGCTTGGTGGGAAATGCTGCAGTCGTGGGGTGGGGGAGTTAAATTGTGGATGGGGGGGTGGGCTTAGAGGGCTGCATCTGCTTAATTCTGGAGTTAAGAGCGTGTCTGTCTGTCTGTGAGTGCAGGAACCCGAGCTAAGAGCCTGTCTGTCTGTCTGTCCTGTGAATGGAGGAACTCGAGTTAAGAGCGTGTCTGTCTGTCCATGAGTGCAGGAACCCGAGCTAAGAGCCTGTCTGTCTGTCTGTGAATGGAGGAACTCGAGTTAAGAGCCTGTCTGTCTGTCCATGAGTGCAGGAACCCGAGTTAAGAGCCTGTCTGTCTGTCCTGTGGATGCAGGAACCTGAGCTAAGAGCTGTCTGTTAAGAGCCTGTCTGTCTGTCTGTGAGTGCAGGAACTCGAACTAAGAGCCTGTCTGTCTGTCCTGTGGATGCAGGAACCTGAGCTAAGAGCCTGTCTGTCTGTCTGTGAGTGCAGGAACTCGAACTAAGAGCCTGTCTGTCTGTCCTGTGGATGCAGGAACCTGAGCTAAGAGCCTGTCTGTCTGTCTGTGAGTGCAGGAACTCGAACTAAGAGCCTGTCTGTCTGTCCTGTGAGTGCAGGAACTCGAGTTAAGAGCCTGTCTGTCTGTCCTGTGGATGCAGGAACCTGAGCTAAGAGCCTGTCTGTCTGTCTGTGAGTGCAGGAACTCGAGCTAAGAGCCTGTCTGTTTGTCTGTCTGTCCTGTGGATGCAGGAACTCAAACACCTGATCCTAGAGGCAGCTGACGGCTTTCTGTTCATCGTGTCCTGCGAGACCGGGAGGGTGGTCTACGTCTCCGATTCAGTGACTCCGGTCCTGAACCAGCCCCAGTCCGAGTGGTTTGGCAGCACCCTCTACGACCAGGTGCACCCGGATGACGTGGGCAAGCTGAGGGAGCAGCTCTCCACGTCGGAGAACGCGCTGACAGGTAAAAGCAGCCTGGGAAGACTCTGATGGGGGTGGGCAGCGTGGAAACCCGCAGAGGACTTGGATTTAAACCTTCCCTTTGTAGAAGGAACCAAACGCTGGTGCCTTCCTAACAAGGATCCCGCAGCCCCCCCTGAGAGTGCTTCTCAAGGTACCGCTGGTGACGCTCGTGTCTTGCTGCTTTCCTAATCTGTGACCTGGTGCTGGTGTTGGTGAAAGGACTCGCGTTGCAGCAACATCTTGGGGTTTTTTTTCTTTCTCTCTTTAGGTCGCATCCTAGACTTGAAGACGGGAACTGTCAAGAAGGAAGGCCAGCAGTCCATGAGGATGTGTATGGGTTCACGAAGGTCTTTCATCTGCCGGATGAGGTAAAGGAGAGATTCCTTGGGGACATCTCTTGAGCCTGAAGCTGAACTTGCTCTTTGGCCCCTTGCATGCTTTATTTCAGGGTTTTTTTGCTCATTCTGATGTAGACGTGTTAGGACATGGCTGAGCTTCCTACACAGAGCTAAGAGTCAAGTTCTTGAGGCTTTTCTTTGCCCAGTGCTAAAATACCTCTCAAGACTGTTGTAAGAGATCCAGTTTCAAGTAACAGTTTGCTTTGACCCCATAAAAGATCCAGTTTCAAGTAACAGTTTGCTTTGACCCCATAAAAGATCCAGTTTCAAGTAACAGTTTGCTTTGACCCCATAAAAGATTGAGTTTCAAGTAACAGTTTGCTTTGACCCCATGTGTCACCCCCCTCAAAGTCCGTAAAATAAGGGATTTTCACTTCTGTGGTGGAAGAGATTCAAATGTTCATCCCCATTTATAGATTGTAGAGTGATTTCTCGTATTCAGAATCGTCAAATTGTTTTGATGTTGACCCAAATAAAAGCTTTTTCCCTTGCATTTCTAATCTTGGTACAGGTGTGGCAACAGCTCAGTGGATCCAGTCTCTGTAAATCGTCTCAGCTTTATGAGGAATCGCTGCAGGTAAATTATAGAGGAGTTCTGGGCAAGCACGCAGCGTTGCTAGGAGCAAAAGGAGCTGCAGCTCTGTCACCGGAGCGGTGGGGACACACTGTGGTGAGCGTGTGTAGGGTAGATGAGTACAGCTCCTGGAGGTAGATCTGGTAGAGGAGCCAAAGTACCACTATGAGGAAGATAATCCTGAGGAAGATCAATCTTTAGTCCAGGATTGGATTTGGAGTCAGTTAAAAACCATGTGTTCTTCACGCTGTCGTCGTTGGCCTTGCTGTATATGGTGCTTTTTTAATTTGCAATTGAGAAAGATGCCAGCCCATTGTGTTCTTGGACCTCTTGTGAAGTCTTTGTTCTTTTCTTGCCCCGAGGACATTGTGTGAAAGCTTTTTAAAAATAGGAGTAGAAACCTTGCCCGACCTCGCCCAGTTTAAATTGTATAGCACAATAAATTAAGATTGCATAGCACAATTGGACTGTTTCTCTCTCCCAAGGAATGGCTTGGGTGCAGCAAAAGACGGCGAACCTCACTACGTCGTGGTGCACTGCACGGGTTACATAAAAGCCTGGCCGCCTGCAGGTAATCCCTTAGCTGAAGTGTTCAGTCCTGGCTGTGTTTAAGAGCACGTGGCCTAAAGTTGTCCATCCTGTGAACTGAATGTGCCAGCAAACACTTCCCAAATGTATCCATCACTTTTTCTGACGTTAGGATCTAATTTCTGTATCTGCTGGATCAGAGATCTTTGTGTCCAAACAGCAGAGATACTGTAGAGAATGCAAGTAATATTTGCTTTTGCCAGAAGTTACAGAGATCTTTAACCCTTCTGGCAAATAACAATATAAGGGAGGGAGATGTAACTTAATTCACCAAATTCCTTCGTGGGAAAGTATATTGAATTATTATTGAAAACAGGGTGGAGGGAGATACTGAAGTCAGAACTGCATGTCTTTTTCCTCTGAAATTAGCATTTTTTTTCTGTATTAACCTTGCTGGAACTCTTTGACGCTCCCCTCTCAGGTGTTTCACTGCCTGATGACGACCCGGACGCTGGCCAGGGCAGCAAGTTTTGCCTTGTGGCTATTGGCAGGCTCCAGGTAGGTACCATCTTGTGATTTTTTCACACAGAATCACAGAATGGCTCGGTTGGAAAAGCCCTCTGAGATCATCACGTCCAACCGTTCCTGTCTACCCCCTAAACCATATCCTTAAGTACCTCATCTACCCGCTCCTTAAACACATCCAGGGATGGGGACTCCCCCCCCTCCCTGGGCAGCCTGGTCCAGCTTCTGACGACCCTCTCAGGAAAGAACTTCCTCCTTATCTCTGACCTGAACCTCCCTTGGCACAGCTTGGTGCCGTTTCCCCTTGTTCTATCCCCATCACCTGGGAGAAGAGCCCAGCACCCACCTCTCTCCAAGCTCCCTTGAGGCAGTTGGAGGTGGTGCTGAGGTCTCCCCTCAGCCTTCTCTTCTCCAGGCTAAACAAGCCCAGTTCCCTCAGCCGCTCCTCATCAGGCTTGTTCTCCAGAGCCCTCACCATCATTTTGACGTTGTCTTGTCCCAAAAGTCCAGAGAGTTTAAACTGTGCTGTCTGAAGGTGTTCCCTGACTGCCCCAAATCCGACTGCTGGTCAGGAGAAAGCAGCTCTCACAAGACTTGGTAACGCTGTACCTGTCTGACCTCGCAGGTCACCAGCTCCCCCAACTGCACAGACATGAACAATGTTTGTCAGCCAACAGAATTCATCTCCCGGCACAACACCGAAGGCATTTTCACCTTCATCGATCACCGCTGCGTGGCTACGGTTGGCTACCAGCCACAGGTGAGACAATGGTAGGAGCTTTCGAAGAAAGAAGCTTGCTTTTCCCTCCTCCCTGTCCTGTGCATCATGGCTCTGCTTGTCTGACAGATCTGATAAAACCATGACCAAGGGCCTAAACCAGACGTGTGGGTTTTTTTCTTCGCCGGTTGCTTTTTGAAGTACTTTGATCACTGGAAAGATCGGTGGCTCTGGATTCTGTCTAATGCCAATTAAGATAATTTTCGCCTCCATTTGAGTTAAAGATCAAACGTTACTCAACCGCTGTTGCGCTTCTCTTTAAAACGCAGCACGCCAGTTCCTGGGCTTGGTTTGTGTAACCGTGATTTGTTGGGGAGGGAAGCAGTAACCTGTCCAAAGTGGAATTAATGGGGCAGACCTGAAAGAGGACGTCTGCTCACCAGATGAACTGACTTGATCTCTCTCTCCCAATTCCTTTAAAATTAGGAACTTCTGGGGAAAGACATCGTGGATTTCTGCCACCCAGAAGACCAACAGCTTTTGCGGGACAGCTTTCAGCAGGTAAAACACTTTAGCTACTGCTTTACCTGCAGCGTGGTGTTCAGGTTGGAATCTGCCTTGGTGCTTGAAAAAAGCACTTCAATTAACTGAAAAACCAAGAGGAAAAAAAGAAACCTTAGCTATTTCTCCTTTGCCCAGTCACGTAACTGTAACTTTGGCAGAAGCATCTGATGTCTAACTCTTGAATTCGTCCTCTGGCTGCTGGTCCAGTCTGCTTTTAGGGCCAGAGCCGTGGCTACAAAGTGCCTGCTCGAATGCCATGCTTCTGTGGCTGAAACACTGGTTCATCTCTAGGGCCCAGCCCAGTGCTGCAGAACCCGAAATGGATGTGCTTTGCTTGCCCTGTTGTCGTTACTCTTATTTCTGAGGGCCTTGGAACTTGTGGCAGGGCAGGTAAGACTGCCCCTGTGCTTTCATGACTCCAAAAAAATAGCCGCTCATATCCATTTGTCCAAATAGTTGGAATCAGCAACAACAGCATGTGCTTCATTGACTGGAGGCTTTTTCATACATCTCACCAGTGCAAAGAGATAAGAAAAGGGGATGTTGGAGTCCCCTCCCAAATATCATTCAGGAATCAAGGGGACAGTGGCAGTGCCGTGTGGTTGGGGAAGATCACGATGTGGTCATGTAGGCTTTGAGGCGAAGGGCCATCGCAGGGTGTTAGTGGGGGTGGCGTGTGCTCAGAGGCAGGTTGCTCTTCAACGCCTTCTCTTAGCAGGTACTACTGATGGCATTACGTTTTTTTAGGTGGTGAAGTTAAAAGGCCAGGTTCTGTCAGTCATGTTCCGATTCCGATCCAAAAACCGGGAATGGCTCTGGATGAGAACCAGCTCCTTTACCTTCCAGAACCCCTACTCGGATGAAATTGAGTACATCATCTGTACCAACACCAACGTCAAGTATGTACATGGAAATGACTTGCCAACCACCAGTGCTAGCGCACGCACCCCATGGGATCTTGTCCCCCTCACCGAGCTCCCCTCCAATCTGCGTAGGCCCTGGAGAAGCTGCCGTGTCCCGTGAGCGCTCCTTTCCCGGGCTGTGGCAGGCACTCAAGGACTGTAAACTGCAAGGAGTTGAATTCCTTTGGCTGTCCTGCTTGTGTGGCTTAGCAAACTGCCAAAGTGCAGCCCCAGCCGTGCCTTTCTTAACTCTGGTTACTGGAGCAAGGCTCCTGTGTGTGTGTTTGCATTCAGAGCTGATATTAGTGAAGTCTGCCTTCAGCCGTAGCTCTTGGCCTCTGGTGACAGCTCAGGGGGGCTTTTCATGGGAGCAGGGCTGTCTGCAGCTGAGGGTAGAAAGGAAACACACTTTTCTCCACTGCTGTACCTTGTTTTTGGGTACAGAAGCGAGCTCCAATGGGGAGCTGCTGTCACTGCTGCTCTCTTCTTTTCCTTCTCTTTTTCCAGTGGGGAGCGAGCAGAGCTGTTTTCTCTTCCCATGAGTGAGCTCCAGGTCCCTTACAGAAAAACAGCAACTAAAATAAGTAAATAAAAAGTGTCTGCATGAGACTCCTAACTGCAGACTTGGTGGGTGCAGCAAACAAGAGTCTCTCCAGCCAGGCAAGCAGAGGGTTAGATTGCCTGTGGGCAGGTGAAAAGCCAGGATTTTTAAGTATATATATTTATA